GAACTGCTAACAGATATTTTTGCCCATTTTTTCTGTAATATTTAGCAACTATTGATATTAACCAGGAATTATGTCAGCTGTTGTATAAAATACAAAGATGAGGTAAACCTGGTCTCTCCTTCCAAATTGCTCACACTCTATGTACAAACTCATTTGTTTGACTTTAACGTCAACAGTGTTTTCCAGTTCAAAAAAGACTCTCTCTCTCTCTCTCTCTCTGTCTCTCTCTCTCTCTCTCTCTCTCTCTCTCTCTCTCTATATATATATATATATATATATATATATATATTTAACTGAATGATAATAGCCCAAGAAGGACTATGGATTATTATTATTATATTTTGTTTTAAAATATTGACTAAAGTATTTCTTCTTTCAAGTACAAAAAGAAAGCAGACATGAATATCAAGCCTGAATTAACATTTATTCATCACAAAACAGATAGTTCCCTAGTCACTGTCTGGTACATTTTTGCATATTTCAGTCTTAGCATTTTGCACTCTGTGAAATTTCCTGGGTTTGTTTTGTCTTATGTGCTTTCTGTTTCCCTCCAAGTGCAATACAAACTCCTTGTGAACAGGGCCCACACCTGTCTTAGTCACTGGGGTATCCCAAGCATCTAGCATAGTGTCTGGGACTCACAGATGCTCAGTAAATATTTGCCGAAGGACCTGTTTGCTGAATAAACAAAACAGGACATTTGAACCTTTTAACAGGAACCATGTTTTGACATACTCATTGTAACATCTATTTGGAAATTCATAGGCAGCACAAGCAAATAAACAAAGCCTTGACTTTCCCCTGGAGATTTCCTCCTCTGTTCAGCAGCTGCTGTCAAGAGCAATACAATTGCATACCTCACTCCATTCATTTGGGACAGTCACAGCATCTTCCTTGTGCTAGACTGAGCCTTTCAATCAAAGGAACAAAATCTGGGCCCAGTACTCTGGAATCAATGACTACCATTGTCTAGCTTCCCTCTGGTGCAATTAGAAAGGAGCAATGAACCAATATTAACTTTACTTATAGAGCAAGTTCCTTTACTGTTGTTGTTTAATTGGTCTGTTTTCTTCTCTTTGAGCTCTTGAAAAGCATTTTTTTCTCCCAAAGCAGAAACATTAAGTAAGATGCATTCAGTGCTTTTATTTAGATTCATTCATTCTTCCTTGGATGAGATTTTGGCCATTGTGTTAGTCTGCTGGAGCTGCCATAATAAACTATCACAGACTGGGCAGCTTAAACAACAGAGACAGGGAAATCCAAGCTCAAGATGCCTGCTGATTTGGTTCTTGGTGAGGGACCGCTGCATCCCTACATGGCTTTTCTTCAACGCGTGCATGGAGAGTGAGACAGAGACTGGGCGAAAGAGATTGTGAATGTGAACTTTCTGGTGTCTCTTCTTGTAAGGGAATGGATTCCCCGTCCTCATGATCTCATCTAAACCTATTTACCTCCTAAAAACTCCGTGTCCAAATATTACCACATTGGAGGTCAAGGCTTCACTATAGGCGTTTGGGAGGGTGGGAACACAGTCAGGCCATGACACCCATAATTTGCCAGTCATCTGATCAGGACAGTACTATCCGTGACAAAGCTTTATCTCTTTTTGAAAGTAGTAGAGACATAACTGCTAATATGACCATTTTAGTGCTCATTTATTCTAGACGATTTTGTTTATGCCATATTATTCATTGGCTTAAAAATACGCTAATGAGGTACTGAAGTTAGAGTATCCATACTTTCTATAGATGATCCTTGAATTTTATGATGGGGTTAATTCCTGATTAAATATCATAAGTTGAACATGCATTTAATATATCAAACCTATGAAAGACCACAGTTTAGCAACTGTATCATAGCAGTTCCTTGCCCAGCTCCTGTGGGTGGCTGGGAGCTGGGGCTTGTTGCTGCTGTCCAGCTTTTCGCAGAGTTTTAGCACCTGCCACTACCCCAGGACAAGATCAAAATTCAGAATTTAAAGTACAATTTCAAATGAATGCATATTTCTTTTGCATCATTATAAAATCGAAAAAATCAAAAGTCAACCCATCCTAGGTTGGGACTGTCATTTATACTGACCTCTGCAAGGCCTCTGTCAGGTTCCTGCTCACTTCCCATACTGATCTCACTCAGGGCTGCTGCTTCTCCCTCTGGGCATTTGTTCTTGCCCCCCACTCTCTCTGGGATGCCTTGCCCCAGCCCTGGCTCATTCTCATCATGCAGGTCTCAGCTGAATGTCATCACTTAGGACATCCCTGAAGCCCAGTCAGTAGTACTTCCTGGACCAGCTGGTCTGTACAGCTGCTTTGCTGGATATGAAGATGATGAAGATCAGGAGTGAAGCCAAGATTCGCTAAGTGTCACCCTTAACAAATGTCAGCATGCATGTCTGGGTTATTAAGAATAAAGCAAATATTGTTACATTACTATTTGCAAGGCACTATGCCAGGGCTTTACCATTATTTATCTGCTTTAGTCCCCATAGCTATTCTCTGATAAACAAGTGATTATTATTCCCACTTTCTACCAGATGATGAAACTGCCACTTGAGGAGATGCCTCACTTGCCAAAGGCTGTGCAGAGGCAGTGATAGAGCTAGGAGTTACCACTTTCATATAAAGCCAATTTTGAAAAATTGAAAAAAAAATAGACCATGAGGAAAATTATTAAAAAAGACAATAATTGTTAATGAAGATAAAAGTATTTTATCAGACAGACCTGGGTTTGAATTCTGACACAGCTGCCACCTGGCTATGTGCATTAAAGACTTTTCTTATGTTTTACTTTTCTTTAAGAGGGAACTTTGAGGAGTACATGAGGTAAGAGACACTCGCACTAAGAAATTCTCATTCAAAGTCTGACTTATTTGACAAAATTTAGTAACTAATTACTTTTTATAAGTCATCATTTAACAATTTCTTTTAAATCCTATTAAACCTTTTCTAAATATCACTAGAACTAGAAATTCAAATTTGCTGGGCACCAGTGGCTCACACCTGTAATCCTAGCTACTTAGAGGGCTGAGATCAGAAAGATCAAGGTTCAAGGTCAGTCCAAGCAAATAGTTCACAAGACCCCATCTCCAAAATAACCAGAGCAAAATGAAGTGAGGGTGTGGCTCCGGTGGTAAGACACCTGCTTTGAAAGTGCAAAGCCCTGAGTTCAAAGTCCAGTCCCACCAAAAAAAAGAAAAAGAAATTCAATTTTTTCAGAAATTTCAAAACTATGGAAAAAAGATCAGACATTTTATATGAAAGTAGAGACACATATAATCATATACAGAAAATTATTTGAGCCAGATGCTGGTGGCTTACGCCTGTAATCCTAGCTACTCAAAAGGCAGAGATCAGGAGGATCGCAGTTTGAAGCCAGTGGGCAAATAGTTTGAGAAAACCTATCTCAAAAAAAAAAAAATCACAAAAAAGGGCTGGTGGAGTGGCTCAAAGTGTAGGCTCTGGATTCAAGCCCCAGTACCACAAAAAAAAAAGAAAAGAAAAGAAAATTATTTGTAAAATGTTAACTGTATTTGCCCACTGTTGATCCGGTGATCGTAAAAACTTACGTAGCATTTTGTCAAGCCATTACATCTCTTTAACAACTTCTAAAAGGCATGGATTATACAAAATGCTGATAAAGATGTGGGCCAAGAGGAACTCTAAAACACTGACAGTGGACAGCAATTTGGCAAAAACACTTTGAAAAACCTTTTGGCCTTTTCTAATAAAACTAAAGATACATAGATCCTAAGGTCTACCAACTCCAATCCCAAGTATGTACTCTAGAAAACATTGTACTTTTGAATAAGAAGATGTACAACAAAATTCACAGTGGCACTATTTGTGATAGAGAAAACTGAAAACAACTCGAATGCCATTCACAGTAAAAAGAATAAACTATAGTATTGTTATACAATAGAACCTTATGTTGGTGTGGTCTATTTAAGTGGTTGCAGCTCATTAATTCACAGGGTTTTTTTTTTTTCCTCTTGTTTTTTGACATTTAAATTGTGTCAGATATTTGGCTTTTATGAATAGGGCTGCTGTGAACATCCTTGTTCATGTATACTGAAGCATGTCTGTGAGCATTTCTGCTAGTTATATGCCTAGGAGTAGAATTGCTGCAGACTGTACCTGTAAGCTTTAGTTGAGACTGACAAACAATGTTCCAAACTGGTTGGACCAGGTACTCCTGATGAGAGTTTGGTTACTCTACATCTTCACCAATACTGGGAATTTTCTCTTTTCATTTGAGCCACTCTAGTTACTGTACAGTGATATTGTACTATGGTTTTAATGTGTCTTTTCCTGATAAGTAGTAAAATTGAAAGCCTTTTAATATTGATCTATTGATCATTTGATATGCTATTACTTTAAAAGCAAGATATTTATTAATAAAGGATTTTAGAAATCTGACTTCATACGGTTGGTTATGACATATCTATGTAAAACAGCCTGTCAGTGAGTTGAGTCAAAGCTCTCCGACAGAAAACATGACGTGAGAATCTCAATTTAAACCTACATGTCTATTTCTAATGGTCAGTGGGTCTGTACCACTCACCATCATTCTGGCAGTTTGAGTGAAGGGGCAGCCCAATATGGAGCACTGCTGGTGTCCAGGCAAGGACAAAAGAGAGGTGGTGACATGATGAATCACACTCAAACTCTTTTTTTTTTGTCCATTGAGGCATTTTATTTGTATGTTTTACATCCCTAGAAAAAGAGTCCACTGATTTTCCCTCCTGTGTGTTTTTCGTCTTTGCTCTTCATGATTTATGCCAGCTAAGGTTGTCAATGCAATGAAACCAGAGCAATGGATGGAACAGGTTATTCTGCCATTTTTCTAGATCTTGAGCTGCACATCAATCTGAAGCTGATCACTCCACACTTCTTCAACTGCCTGTGAAGAAAAGTTCACTACAATTGTCCCAACTCTGTGATTCATCAATTGATTTCAAATTCGCCCATATAACCAGGCTTCATCATCACAGTCAGAAAGCAGACATGACTGCTTCAAGGAACCTGGCATTTTACCTCTCTTCTCAGCATTGGTTGATGGCCCTTGAGGGAGCATCGCCAGGGACTCATGAGCACCACTATAGCGGCACAGAAGGTATTCATAAGAACATACTCAAGCTCTTGACCCTTCTGCTCAGGACATCCAAACTCTTCCCGTTTCATCGTGCGACTTCCCATTGTGCCAATGAAGTTCATCTTTCTAAGTCTGATATTAGTCTGGTGAAGGTAGGGAACTTCATAGGAAGAGGCAGTAGTAAATTGTGGGACCATGTACCCTTCTTTTCTAAACAGAGTAGGCCTCTAAGAATATTAGTTCAGGATGGAAACACCAAAACTGTGGCTAAGGCTTGTTCTTCACACGTTGTGTATGTACGGACACTCTTTTTTGTTTTAGTTGAACTAGGTGTTCAGGTTAGTATACTGATTCAGCTAAACTAATTCGACGTCAGGAACTAACATTTAAAAATCATTGAAAAAGATTGCAGGTTTCTTTTTTCCTTAGAAATCATACACTTTAACCAGGGATCCTTTGGAAAGCTGAGTGGCAGCTTTCCTTTTAGGTGGGTTACCTCACCTCGGGTTCTTCAGGTGCTTTCTATGCTGAGGTGCCTGTCTGACTTTTTTTTGTACAAGCCTAACAATAAATAGTACATTTTACTACTACCCAGGACTCAATGCATATGTGTGTTAACATGTTCACATTAGGCATATGAGTGTGTGGTTTACATTACATATTCCAAAAGCAAAAATACTTTTATAAAAGGTGTTGTCTGTAAGTGTATGCTTGTTATGGTCGAGCTGTCTTACTTATCTTTTTTCGTTGCGAGGGAACTGACTTCACCAAACCACTTTGGAGTCACAGCTGGTCTGTGAAGACATTGCTCTCAATCCTGTGGACTGGTGTGCTGGATGCTTGTGAATTGAACTGTCCAAGTCATTAAAGGCCCCACACCCTGTGCTCTGGGGGAAGTGGCAGTCTGCTGTCCGCTATTCATTCAAGCCGGATATGAATATCCAAGAGTCTTAAAAACTTAAACTGCTTCAGTAACCTGCCAGCTTCCCTGCTGACTCTTCCCTTTATCTTATTTCGTAGTTGCATTAGAAAATAGCCTTTTAGGCAAAAATTCATTATTTGCTGTCGAGGCTGGGAAATGAGAGCAGATGTAAGCAACTCCTGTTATTAGGCTTCAGGAAGGAGCATTCCAGGAGATGGCTGTGAGGGAACAAACCACGTGCTGTTACTGAGGCCCAGGGCACGTGCTCACCACAGGACTGGGCTCCCCATCTCACCAATTCATTGTAATAATTGCTTTATGGATAGCTTGTTGCTTAGGCCCTATGCTGGGGAATTCACCCAAGATTGTGCAAAGTTCTAGATGGACAGGTATAAATAGTAACCATTATTTCTATGTCCTATGTCTTTTTTTTTTTTTTTTTTTTTTTTTTGTGGCACTGGAGTGTGAACTCAGATCTCATGCTTGCCAGGCAGGTACGTACCACTTGCACCATCTAACCCTTTTTTGCTTTAGTTATTTTACAGACAGGATCTTGCATGTTTTGCCCCAAGTGCCTCTATAATGTCTGCAAGCTGGGCATACAAGATGAGCCACTGAACTTGGCTCTGTTCCTGCCTATTTTCTTGTTTTCTAAACTTGACCAGAATTCATCCCATTGTCAGGGTCAGTTCTGGCGTGGTGCTTGTCACTCATATGTGGTTCCTTCCCATTCGGCCTGGGATTTCCTTACTGTTTGTATGTGTGTAGAGTAGAGCATGTGTGGTGCTATGGGGGGGAAGTGATGGGGAATATTTCATCTCACCAAGAGGACAGAATGGGAAAACACTCAGAGATGAAGATTAGGGCATTTTTGCAGCTACAAGCCAAGAAGTACCAGGACCTGCTGAGGCTGGAAAAGGCAAGGCAGACTTTTCCCTGGAGCCTTGAAAAGGGCTCATGGCCCTGCCAGCTCTGTTAGTTTCCACCTTTGGCCTCCAGAACTGTGAGGAGAGAGTTCCTGTTTCTAAGCCACCAAGCTTGGCAATTGTCACAGCAGCCCCAGGACTTCCAGACAGCAAAATATCCCAACACCAAGGGACTTTTGTATCGTGATTGTGAGCTCTTAAAAAATAAGGAAAAGTTATTGCCAAGAAATAAGTACTAATAAGTAAGGAAAAATGATGTGCTAAATAATTATTTGTAGCACAGTATAGAAGCTAGTCTACCTGGCAATAAAGCGCTCTTTAAAGTTTAGGCCATGGTGTGAGACTCGTAAGTAATGTAGTTCCTCCTGCGGAAGCAAAGGTTATATCATGGGTGTTTTCATGCATTAGTCTGTAGTAATGTCGTTTTCAAAGTCGATCATCTTGGACCATCAGTCTCATGGCTCCCCTATCTGTGCTTTGGTCTGACTACCTAACACAGTGCTTTGCATGTGGCATGCCTCCAAGAAACACTTGAAGAGCACTTTATTGTTTTGAGCATCGTTCACTAATGTTTAATAGCAGCTGTTTTTGAACTCAATCTGCAAGGACTGAAATCCCTGCTCTGTCCCTCACAAAATGTAAATCATTGAGTAAGTTGTGTAGTCTCTCTGTCCTTCAATTTCTTTGTCTATAAGGTTGGGATAACAATAATAACCTACCTCATACTGCTGTCGTGAGGAGTGGGTTCTTACATATTAAGTACTTAGAACTACTTCCATGTAAGGACTCAATAAATGTTAAATATTGTTATTAGCTCGTATGTCTACCTTCCAATTAAATGATAAACTCTTAGAGGCAGAGTCAATGCCCTGTGCTTTTCTTGGAACGAGGTTGGTACCGGGGTTTGAACTCTTGCTTGCTAGGCAGGTGCTGTACCACTTGAACCATGCCCTAGCCCTTTTTTGCCTTTTTTTAGTTATTGTTCAGATAGGGTCTTGAGTTTTTGCCTGGACCAGCCTTGAACCATGATCTTCCCAATCTCCACCTCCCCAGTTCCTGTGTGAGCCCTGTGCTTTTTATAATCACACAACCAGTACGATTTCTGTCATATAGCATTCACTCAGTGAATGATATTTGTTAAACTAACAAAAGAAATGTATGAGTGAATGGATGGTTATATGTTTACGATATCTGCTCCATTACAAAAATCAAATAGAGAACAGAATTGCCAAAGTTCTCATGTTTGTTACAGTAAAAAATTGTTTTCAGAAGCAGAATCTTAAAATTATCAAAGTGCTACAAAGATAAGAGGAGACAAGAAAAGAAAATGACTATGGATGTGAAATTTTTAACTGTACTTGAGCTCCTGGCTGGCAAGAGACCTTGTCCCATGTTGCTTTGTAATTCCATCAGCAGATTCCAGGTTTCTCTTAATATGTAGCCATTTCCCTTTTAGCATTCTCCTGCAACTTCCAGCCACCTCACCTCTGAGCTCCATCTCCCATCTCAGCTAGGCCTTTGGGTTGTCTGGGTTTCCCCTCCCAGCACCTGCAGTTCCTCCCTTGCCTTATAATGAGAATTTGGGAGTTCCTTTGCTCAGTTTGTCCATTCCCCTTCTCCTGGGATGAGTCTTTCAGGCTTGTGATTCAGTGTCTGAAAACAGCTCTTTCCTATGTTTTGGTCAGTTTCTAATCGCTCACCTTGAAAAGTTGTCCTTGTTACTTCATCATGGCTAACTGCAGGTGTTCTCATGCGAGTGTCTTGGTTAAAAGAGAAAAAGTAAGGCTGGGTGTGTTGGTGTCCACCTGTAATCCCAGCACTTGGAAAGCTGAGGCAAGAGTATCTCAAGTTCAGTTTGAGGCCAGCCTGGACTACATAGCAAAATCCTGTTTAGGGGAGGGGAGAGAGAAAGGAGAGGGAGAGGGGGAGAAAATAATATAAAATAAAAGAGAAGGTGATATTTTAATTCAGTTGATTCTTTTGCTGATTGAGAGTTAGAGTGTCATTCCAGGGCAGATGTTCAGTCACAGTCAGCAACTTACTTCAAGAGCAGACTCCTCCACTTTCACTTCCAGCTTCAGTGACTTAGTGTGGGGAAGGGAGTTCTGAAGTATAAAGAATGTGCACTGTTAGCTGTTCCCAGCCTGGCTCGTTAAGCAGGATGGTAAATAAGTGTGTCATCTCTTGCCATTTATTTGTGCATCCATTCTTACAGCCATGGGCTGTGGGAGCTTCCATTGCTTTTCACAAATTGTCTAGAACATTTAATGATGATATATACAGGTTTCCTTGCCGAAGCACAGAGACCATTTTTATTGTTCTCATTTCTTTGCGGTCATTTCCCCTTTCAAGATCACAGCCTTGCAGGTCTGTGATACATAAAACCATCCATTGTAATAGAACCTAGTAGCAGTGTGGGAGGAAAAGGGTGGGAGTCATTTCACCAGAGAAATGCATTATATCTCCTGGAGAATTTTCTTATCCTAGAAATATACCTAAAATTACTTTTTTTTGAAAATTTCAAGTTTTACTGAAATGTGGTAATTAACAATTTTATAACAGAAAATTTTCTTTTCAGTACAGAGGCGGACTATCCATAATAGTGCTGTAATTGTGATAACAGGCCACATTCTAAAAATTCATATTCTTGTTAATTATGAGCCTTACTCTTAAAATCTCCTCCATGTGATTTGCCAGAGCAGCAGTTGAACTGCATCGTCTAATATCTTGGGAACACCTGTGGTCCAAAATCCAACCAAGCTAATGATAGCTGAAATGGATAAATTTAGAATGAGCACAAGAAATAGTTATTCAATGATTAATTGTTGAATAATTATTCACAGCAATGAAGAGTAACTCACTTACTGGTAAGAAACCATTCCTCTGCTGGGAATTAGGACTCTGTCCCAGACCTCTGGCTCCAAGGCTTGAATTCTATTCAGTACTGACAGACACCTCAGTTCATCGTGCAAGCACTGGAGAGGCCTTGACAAAGATTGACAAATGCCAACTAAGTCGTTCTGTCTGCGTTGTGGTTTAGCGTCTCTTTATGGTGGATGCCTTCTGATGGGTGTTGTTAACACGCAGTACAAAGATCTTCATTCTTCATCTTCATTCGTGTCCATCTACGCCTCTTCCCTAGACCCCAATCTTACAAGCATTCTCCTTCTGGATCCCTTTATATTCATAGAGCATATATAATTTATCTATAACCTAAGTGAATAAACACATCATTTACTTATTAATTACATCTACTTTAAGGTAGGCATGTAAATTGAAGAAAGCAGAAATCTCCAGAGGTTTT